TGGGAAAGGTATGACTCCTATTTTGCTCTCCCCCAGCTATGGGTACATAGCAAGATAGACCGTGTTCTTTAGCCTTGGATGGTAGCTAGTCTACCGCAGAAAGAAATGGCAACCTACTGCGGGAAAAATCTGCCTCGTCAGTCATGTATCGAAAGATACATGATCGCCTAAGCGTGTATCACGCATGGAAAATAATTGATTGACTGATATGCTAATATCCTTGGGAAAGGTATGACTCTTATTTTGTTTCCCCAGCTATGGGTACATAGCAAGATAGACCGTGTTCTTTAGCCTTGGATGGTAGCTAGTCTACCGCAGAAAGAAATGGCAACCTACTGCGGGAAAAAATCTGCCTCGTCAGTCATGTATCGAAAGATACCTGATCGCCTAAGCGTGTATCACGCATGACACATAACTGACTGACTGACGTGCTAATATCCTTGGGAAAGGTATGACTCCTCTTGTGCTCCCGGACCCCAGCTAGAAAAGAAAGAAATGGCAACCTGCTGCGGGAAAAAAATCTGCCTCGTCAGTCATGTATCGGAAGATACATGATCGTCTAAGCGTGTATCACGCATGACACATAACTGACTGACTGACGTGCTAATATCCTTGGGAAAGGTATGACTCCTCATGTGCTCACCGACCCTAGCTCGAATAGAAAGAAATGGTAACTTACTGCTGGAAAAAATCGAAAGATACATGATCGCCTCAGCGTGTATCACTCAATGCACATAACTGATACTAGTTTAGATATTTTTTTTAAGGGTGGATAACAATTAAACAGTTATAAATGTACATATATAATAATGATGTATTAAATTATAATGGGTGCTTAAAGTAATATTTTCCAAGATAAAATTTTGTTGATCTTTCTACTTTTGAAGACATCCGTAGGTGTTCTTACGATATAGAGCGTTGTAACTGAAACAAACAACAACGGTTTATCTTTGGGTTTATTCCGAAAATAAATTTGCAAATATGAAATTTGAAGAAATCGATCAAATTCACCCTGCACGTATCAGAATGCAGCAAAGGTCAGATTACTCACAGGAAAACAAACACGGGATATTGTGACAGGTCGAAAATATGGTATTTCTCTATGCAGAAGAGTTTAAAATACAACAGATTTCATATATGCACGAAATGGATGAGGTTCTACTCAAGAGTTCTGAATTCTAGAGAACTCTCTCTCTCTCTCTCTCTCTCTCTCTCTCTCTCCCTTGTATGAGAAAGGCACTGCTTCCAAAATACACACACACAAACATACAGACACACACATATAGATGTTCTAAGTGTAGCGTAGATGTATATATATATATATATATATATATATATATATATATATATATATATATATATATAAATAAAATAAATTTGAATGTATGCTATATTTACGGATTTATCAGGATGGGGGAACAAGGAGGTAAATATCTAACAGCCACAGTCTATTTCATGCTTAAACACAAGCCTTAGGTCGTATCTCTCTCCCCTTATACATATATATATATATATATATATATATATATATATATATATATATATATATATATATATATATATATATATATATATATATATATATATATATATATATGTATATATATATATATATATATATATATATATATATATATATATATATATATATATTGACAGACTGTTTCATGCTAGACGCAATCGTCAGACCGCCTGAGTATTGACTTCAATGTTCGCTTGTATATTTACATACAATCTATCTCTGATATTGAGCACTTTATTCCATAAATATAGCACACCTTATATATATATATCTGTAACCATGGAAACGTGATTTTAGCTGTGTCTTTAAAACCCGGTAATTTTTAAAAGTTACTCCAAAATTCGCTTGAAGATGAAATGGAACTAATGCTTTTAATTTAATTGCAAAATTAAATTCGGGGTTTTTAGCTTCTATTTTTGAAACATGGTTGGTACTCTGTAGCGAAAAAAACATATTTTAAATCAATTAATTTATAATATATATATATATATATATATATATATATATATATATATATAAATATACGGAAAAAAACAAAAAAAAATCCTAATATGCGATTATGCTGTTTTAATGTTTAATGTTTAATCGCATATTAGGATTTTTTTTTGTTTTTCAGTATATTTTCTTCATACTGTCGGATCTATATCCATATATTTGCTTTGCATATATATATATATATATATATATATATATATATATATATATATATATATATATATATATATATATTATAAAAATATACATGTTATAAGATCACTACAAGGTTGCAATTTCGTTTCAACACTGTTGCTGTATTATCAAATAATATATATATATATATATATATATATATATATATATATATATATATATATATATATATATATATATATATATATATATATATATATATATATATATATATATATATTATTTGTGGTAAAAATCAAGCGATGACGGCCCTGGGTCAAGAGAGTGGATGCTGGGAGATCCTATGGCGAAGAAACCAGTTACGGCTGTCAGATTATTTCTGCGATGACATCACCTCATTCACCTGGCCTCTCATACGCCAGACTGCAACCTCCTTGATTGTTATATTTTGTGTGCCATTGAATAAAAGAAAAACACATCTCCTTGTAACGCCAATGATGTACTGAAGGCAAGGATTATGACAGCTTTCAACAACTTATACATGGAAACCGTCCAGAAAAGTTGTAAAAAATTCCGAAGTCGTCCGGTGGACGTGATTGAAGCTAATGGCAATTATATTCAATATATTTGCTCTTTAATTTTTCAAGATAGTTTTGTGTGATTATGGTAAATATATTTGTTAAAATAAGATATCAGTTCTATTTTTATTTTTGCGTAGTTTAAACAATTTATTCGCCCTATATATATATATATATATATATATATATATATATATGTGTGTGTGTGTGTGTGTGTGTGTGTGTGTGTGTGTGTGTGTGTACATATTAGTGATCTATACACACACACACACACACACACACACACACACACACACACACACACATATATATATATATATATATATATATATATATAATTCCAAGAGGATAGAATCCAGAGAAAGAATATAATAATACCATGGAATATTAGTGTTTATTACTATATATATATATATATATATATATATATATATATATATATATATATATATATATATATATATATATATATATATATATATATCGTCATCCACGGACAAGCTGTTTCTGCAGTTCATCAGTGTGATAGGCCTACGATAGCTTCAAGCTGGGTTCGAATCCCGACCAATTTGGTATCAGTCATAGACTATAGACGCCCGGCGGGGAGAAAGGCGGATGTTTGCGTTTGTATTTTATCATAAACTCGCCAGTGACCTAGAGAACTCAATCCAGTTTGGAGTGTCTTACATTATCAGCAGTAATAGTGACTGTTTACAAATTCGCGATTTTCTCCCTACAGTGATCGAGCGAATTTTTCGGAAGCTAATATCGCCATCCACAGAGGGATCGAAACACGACGGATTTACTATCAGTCGGAGATTTCTAATTTCATGTATATTCACCACTCATCATATTTGGACAAATCTATATGGCACTGAATTCTGGATAAATTTTGCATATAAGGGCAGAACTCACTCCAACATCGACGTTTCCTTACAGATTCTTTCCCGCAATTGGTAGAATATGTTGCCTTCTTACCGTTACCACATAGAATCAATAGTTCAATGTCTGACAATCTTGTATTATAAAGTGAACATGAAATAGAATCTCTCATGTCACATTGAGATTGGAAGAGCTGAGAATCCATTGGCAAAACAACGTAAGAGAATCCTTGTTGTCCTGAGGCGTATTTCCTCATAAACACGTTTTTCGAACCTGTCACCACTTAGGCTGTAAAGGTGAAGTCCCGTTTAACTTTTCTCCGGCGTGTCCTATTTGACAACTCGGATAATGAAACATTTTGCCGAATTTGTTCCGATCTTCCCATCAGAGGTGAAAAATGTTACCGAATAAGAAAAATAAATTTCCTGTCGTTGGTACCTATATACGGTGACTATGATGTATCACTGGTTTCGGAAGGACTGAAGTCAGTGACAACACAGAATGCAACGATATCCAGGGCCTTGATGACACTGCTCACTAAACGTAGGACTTGTTATAGTGAATTCAACAAACAAGAAGGATGCTTCCTCCGATGGAATAAACGACAACCTGTCTATTACCATAACGTGATTTCAAATCGAAAGACATCTGTTATTCGGGCTCATCAGGTTTACAGTGACCCTGCAACCACATTCGGTCATTGGACTCTAGATCAGGATTCGGCAACCTTTCGCAGACGATGTGACGATTTATGGTTTTAAAACCAGCCAGTGTGTTAACAACATACTTATTTGTATACAAATCAAAGTCAATATACCCGTTCTACAATATATTTTATATATATATATATATATATATATATATATATATATATATATATATATATAAATATATATATATACTTTAGTATATATTCAAATTGAAAGAGTTAAATATCTTGTAGTAGTTATGGGTTAGGACTTCGTGATGTCATTTGCGGCCACATGCCATAGGAAATTGGTTGGCGTGCCACGTGTTGCACGCGTGACGTAGGTTGCCGGCTCCTACTCTAGATGATCATATGAGAAAATGATATATAAATTTTTTCTATATCAAGAACAATTTTTCTAGTTATTCCTGATTTTCCCAAAAAAAGTTGATGATAAATATGGATATGTACAGGGTTGTCCGAAGGTCATGTCACCCCTACCAAAAGCTAATGAGAACGGTAGCAGAACAAGTAAATACTAAGCACATGTACTGGATTAAGTTCATTCATTTTCCTTGACGCTGTCACGCATCGAGAAAGCATGAACACTATCATTTTCGTGTCAGCCATCTGAAATAGAAAATTATATTATATAGGGGTGACAATACTTTCGGACAACCCTCTAAGACAGCCTTTTCAAATGTATTTATCTACATCAGCCTGTTTAAATATATCTACATCAGCCTCTTCAAAATTATCTACGTCAGCCTTTTCAAATCTATCCACGTCACCCTCTTCAAATCTATCTACATCAGCCTCTTCAACTCTACGTCAGCCTCATCAAATCTATCCACGGCACCCTCTTCAAATCTATCTACATCAGCCACTTCAATTCTATATACGTGAGACTCTTCAAATCTATCTACGTCAGCCTCTTCTATCTACATCAGCCTCTTCAACTCTACGTCAGCCTCATCAAATCTATCCACGTCAGCCTCTTCAAATCTATTCACGTCACCCTCTTCAAATCTATCTACATCAGCCTCTTCAAATCTATTTACGTCAGCCTCTTCAAATCTATTTACGTCAGCCTCTTCAAATCTATCTACGTCAGACTCTTCAAATCTATCTACGTCAGCCTCTTCTTTCTACATCAGCCTGTTCAAATTTCTCTGCATCAGCCTGCTCAGATCTCTCTACGTCAGCCTGTTCAACTTTATCTACGTCACCCTCTTGAAACGTATCTACATTAGCCTCTTGAAACCTCTCTATCTACATTAGTCCGTTCAAATATATCTACCTCAGCCTCATCATATCTATCCCAATCAGCCTGTTCAAATCTATCTACGTCAGCCTCTTCAAGTCTATCTACGTCAGCCTCTTCTATCTACATCAGCCTGTTTAATTCTATCTACGCCAGCCTCTTCTATCTACATCAGCCTGTTTAATTCTATCTACATCAGCATGTTCAAATCTATCTACATCAGCCTGTTCAAATCTATCTACGTCAGCCTCATCAAATCTATCCACGTTAGCCTCTTCAAATCTACGCCTTCCTCTTCTATCTACATCAGCCTATTCAAATCTAGCTGCACTAGCTTCATCAAATTCAACTACGTCAGCCTCTTCAAATCTATCTACCTTTTCCTCTTCTATCTATATCAACCTGTTTAATTCTATCTACATCATCCTGTTCAAATTTATCTGCATCAGCCTGCTCAAATTTATCTACTTCAGCCTGTTCCAATCTCTCTACGTCATCCTGTTCAAATCTATCTACATCAGCCTCTTCAAATCTATCTACAACCTCTTTAAATTTATCTACATCGGCCTGTACAAATTTATCTCCGACAGCCTGTACAAATCTATTTACGTCAGCCTCTTCAAATCTATCTACGTCAGCCTCTTCAAATCTATCTACAGTGTGGTCCGAAAGTCTTGTCACTCCACCAAAAAGTAATGAGAACAATGGAACAACAAGCAATACCGTAATACGAAACATATTTACTGAATTCAGTTTATTCACTTTCATTAACGCTGTCACACCATGAAGGTCGGTATGTGCACCGTCATTTTCGTGTCAGCCATTTGAAACAGAAAATTATATTATATATATATATGGGTGACAATACTTTCGGATCACCCTGTATATAATGTCACGAGGAGCAGTCCAGAGTTCGAATAACACAATAGTGAAAGCCACAAAATCGAGCGATATCTTCTCGATGGTATTAGCATGCGGAGTATTCGGCTGTTGGTAAGGGCTTGAAGATCACCACGGGTTGACCGAAGAATTGTGAATAAATTGTGAGTGGAAATGTTCAGAAGTTGTCATTGGCTGTGATAACAAAATTTTACTAGCCATCTCTCATATAGTCCTGTACGTTTGATTTTCAAACAGTGGAGCCTGGACGTTTATTTTATTTTTTTGTGAAATATTAACCCAGAGTATTCCTTTTATTAAATATTCTAGATATTTCCTTTCACCTTTTAGTTTATGTTCATGCCTTTCATTACTAAAAGTTACAAATATGTATTAAGAAATATTTTTTTTAATCAGCCAACGATTTTTTCCAAAGGAACTGTATATTTTAAATTTAAAAAAATTAAAAAATGGACGTACCCATAGAGTCGAATTTTGTATTTTTACCAAGACAAGTGACTAACAGAATTTGTTTAATACACGATATTAATGCAAGTGTATATATATACATTATAGAAATCAAAAATGACTTAGTATTTTGTTGGGTAACCATTTGCTTTAATAACGATCTTAATTCTTCGTGTCATGCTAAAGACTAAATTGTTTAGTACGTCAACGTTGTTCGCCAGATATATCCAGCATTTCTTTAATTCGCGGAAAAGCTCATATTCTCTGTTAAATTTCCTATTACGGGCATGCTTGTCCATTATCGCCTAAAGGTTTTTAATTGGGTTAAGTTCGGGACTCTGACTAGGCCACTGGAAGAGTTGCAATTTACCCTCGTCTCGCTTCCTCTCTGGGTAACGTTTATTTTTTAAAGGATGTATCTGAAGGGTTGTTATCCTGTTGGAATTTGCAACGTTGACATTTGGCAAAAAGTTTTTTTTATTTTTTATTTTAGAGGAAAGGCACATTTAATTAAGAAGAATGATTTGGTATTGATGCTGGTCAATGTTTCTCTTGATTTCAATCGATTTTCTAGTGATGTCTCCATTTTTTGGCCTCCTACTGTAAATGTTACATCAATCGCCATCTCATACATTCTTTACTCTTTCTCTTTTTCTGAACTTACTACTATTTGTCTTCTCATTTTCTTTCGCTCTCAGTAACCCCTTGCGTCTTCGTTAGGTTGGAATGGTTTTAAAAAATATCCCAAACTATTTCGTGGCATCACCACGATATATTGTGAAGAGTAATGTACGGAATACTCCTGATTTTATGTTACAGGTTTCTCGGTAGAATCAGCGCTCACACCATTCACCAAACACTTAAAGAAAATAAATAATAATCTTCGGTAATATAACGAGGATTTGAACTCCGATTGATGACTTGAAATAGCCTATGCCCTTGTGCATTTCCTCCTGTAAAGATATATACAAATATTTCACGTCACCACTGCGAGAAATATAAAAAAAAGGGGTTTGATGGACTGTTTACCGTTGAAATGAAAAGATATCAATAAAAGCCAATCTTGCCATCAGTTCGTTGCAAGACAATACATTCTCGGAAAGCCATGCATTTACACACACCCTGGTCCACCCTCACGGTTGACACTGTCAACAATATTACAGCTTTTTCAATATACATAAGCATTTTATGTTCTCACAGCGGAAGTCATTTTTTGTTTTATTTTGATTTCAAGTTTTCAGTGACAGTTTTCTTTAACCTCAACGAAAAAGGTTAGGATGACATTGAAAATCCGACGTTCGATACTTGTGTACACTTAATACGATGTAATATTTTCTTTTATAAGCGATGACTTCCCTGTTTTTTTGTTTTTTGTTTTTTTTAAACATGTTAGAGTGAATACACGTATCTGAATATGTCGTTATTTCCTTTGTTTATACATTTACGGCTAACCCTATATAAAAGTAATATCGAGTAAATCTCTAAATTAATCCTACAACTTCTATAGATTTTTATCAAGAGTTTATATTGGATCTGTATAAAATGATATACTGAATATACGTGGATACTCATTAAAGGAAGTAAATTTTCCTTCGCCTTGCGCATGTGTAGTCCTACCGACATAACAAATGTCGTCCGATGAAGTCCTGAATGGTGAAACGCGTCATAACTAAAGAGCTTACACTTAAATATATATAAATAAAAAAAAGAAGAGTAAGATATATAATCCGGTGTTATTTATTGATATTTTTATTTTTACAATACAGTGCTCAATGTAAATTTACAGAGCATAAATATCATAAATTAACTGATTTAAAATAGGGTGTCTTCGCTACACAGGAATTACCATGTTTCAAAACCCGAAGCTAAAATCTTCAACTTTAATTATATAATTAAATTAAAAGCACTAGTTCTTCCCAAAATTCGCTTGAAGATGAAACAGAACTAATGCTTTTAATTTAATTATATATTTTAATTTGAATTTTTAGCTTCGGTTTTTGAAACATGGTAAGTACTGTGTAGCGAAGAAACCATATTTTAAATCAGTTTATTTATATATATATATATATATATATATATATATATATATATATATATATATATATATTATATGCGCGTACTTAATGGAAAGTGCGCAATATCAGTGATAGAGCTAACATAAGTTGTATAGATACGAGTTTGTGACCTTTGGTTTCGATTATTGGGTTTTCAATCCTTGTTTGAGGACATATATTTTCTATGAAATTTCTCGGACATTAAGGCCGGTAAATATAGCTAACACTGTTTATTATAAACAAATCATTTACTTAAATATTTGTATCTATAAAAATAACGTATAAACAGAAACTATATTAAAATAATTGTCGGACCTCGTTCATTTCATAATATATGTTATCATTTGTTTACGTTAAGATGCGTTTCGAGCAGATATGAACGTTCGAGAGAAATCATGGGAAATTTGTTGTTTAAAAACACTAATTTGGCATTAATAGTTTGTTTAAGGATTTCACCCGAAGCAAGGGTTACAGAGAGTGGGAGCGTGAGTAAAGATGCGTGGTTGAGTATTAAGAGCAGGACAGAGAATATATCAGGGCTACTGGAGATGCCGATTGACATTACATTTGAATAGGTGAAGATTATATTTATCAGGGAAACAAGTAATAGGAAGGAAACTCCACAGACGGGAGGTGCGAGATATGAGGCAGAAGAGACGGCTATATTTACCTGTTTCGATAGTGAAAGGGTGGGACCGAAGTGCGTTTAAATTAATGCAGTCTAGGAACTAGCGGAAGTAGCTCGTCGGAGCAGTTACCTTGGAAATACTTGAAGAAGAGACAGAGGGAAGCGACGGCACGTCTGTGAGAGAGCGACTGTCGACGATATGCCAGAGCAGGGCCAATCACATTGCATATCCGTCCGTGGATTTTGTCGAGGAGCTTAATGCGAACAGCGGGGGCACCAGACCATATATAGCACTAGTATTCCATGCAAGGGCGAATCGTTGATAGATTTGAAGGATGGACTCGGGTGAAAAAAAAAAAGGCTTTCCTGCGTCACATAGGGAACCGATTTTCCTTGCGGTGGATGAAGTTATTGATTAAGTGTATTTATTTCATATCAGGTCAGCAGATATTGTGGACCAACAGTTACAAAGAGGTGCTCTCGTAGAGCTGAGAATCAGACATTCGTATGGGTGGCAGAGATGGTTCTCTGTGGTGAGTAATAAGGAGTAGTTGGGTTTTTGAGGCGTTAAAGTTAATCAGCCAATCCCTGCCCAAGTCTACAACCGATTGGAGGTCCTTTTCGAGACAAACGTCCAGGTTAGTTTTATCAGCGACACTAGATTTGTTTTTG